ATGTGGATTCTTAGGGTCGGCTAATACATATGCAGGTTTAAGCCTATCTATCGAAACATTAGACTTCTTCCCTTTAATTTCCACCACGAAGAATTTAGGGTGCCTTTCCAAGACAGGTCCTTCGTATGGTCTATCCAAGGAAGCTCGTATACGATCCACTCGGACGAAGACATGAGAACTGCTGTGAAGGTCCTTGGTATAAAGGTTTTCGGCTGTTGTTAGTGCTCTGATTGTCTTGGTTTAAGATTATTGAATGCAAAGCGTAATTGACTGACTAGGCTAGAAGATCTGAGTTAGGTTTAGAGTAGGGCTCCTCAAAAAAATCACCAGGAATACGTAATGGGGTACCATATACTAGTTCTGCAATGGACGCTTGTGCTGTATCATTGAACGAACATCGTAGACCCAATAAAACCGTAGGTAAGACGGTCGTCCAATCTTTTGAGTTGTGAGCCATGAAGGCTGACTTTAATGTTCGGTGTAGTCGCTCTATTTTACCATTACTTTGTGGATCATAGGCTACGGTATGGCTGAGTTTAGACCTACAAAGTTTAGTTAGTGATATAAATAATTCTGACCAAAACTGTGTTCCCAGATCGGTGACAATTTGATGCGGGCTTCCGAATCTCGCAATCCAGCCTTCAAAAAAGGTTTGTGCAATGCATTCAGCGGTTTGGTTGCGCAATGGTAGCACTTCCATCCAGTTAGTGTAGCGGTCAATGCAAGTTAAACAATAGCGGTAGTCGTTAGACGTTGGAAGTGGTCCCACTGTGTCAATGTGGATGATCGAGAATCATTCTATGTCATCAGGAAAGCGTTGTAACGCTGCTTTATTATGTTTAGTAACTTTGCTGCCCTGACAGTGTAGGCAAGATTTCGTCCACATTTTGATATCCTTTTTAATGTTGGTCCAAATTATTTTGGCTAGTATCAGATTTAAGGTTTTTTTTATTCCGGGGTGAGCCATATTGTGGTAATGTTGAAATACTATGTAACGAAATTTATTTGGGATATACGGGCGAATATTTTTGGAAATATCACACCAAAGAGCTTTTCCACCGGGAGTATTAAATTCTTGAAATTTCAATGTTGTCGAGGGGTTCTGTCGAAGCTCTTGAAGCTCGGTATCTGCCATTTGTTCTAATGCTCTCTCTTCGTAATCAATAGGAACAATTTCTTCAATGCGTGATAGGTGATCTGCTACTATGTTGCTTTTACCGGAGATATGCTGTAAATCTGTAATGAATTGTGAAATATATTGAAGTTGACGAAGACGTCTGGCTGGAGCATTGTCATGCTTTTGTTGAAATGCGTAAGTTAATGGGGCATGGTCAGTAAAAATTGTAAAATTCCTGCCTTCCAAATAATGTCTAAAATGCTTTATAGCCAGGTAAATACTTAAGAGTTCACGGTCATACGTTGAGTAACGCTGTTGTGTTTCTGAAAATTTCTTTGAAAAGAAACTGATTGGTCTCCAATCATTGTTTTCAAATTGTTGAATTACAGCACCTGCAGCAAAGTTAGAAGCATCCACATATAAAGCGAGTCTATAATCTGTACTGGGGCAAGTAAGGAGAGTAGCTTCTACCAATGCTTCTTTTGCACTTTCAAATTGCTCATTAGATTCGTCAGTCCAATGTATTTCACGCTTGTCATTTTTCTTGGCATGTTTCAAGTATTCATATAGTAAGCCTTGTTGTTCTGCTGCATGTGGAAGGAAACGTCGATAAAAATTAATGAAGCCCAGAAATTGTCTGAGATCTTTGACTGTGACCGGTCTTTTGACATTTGCAATCAACTTGACGCGATCAGGATCCGGACGGATACCATCACCTGAGATAAGAAAACCTAAGAAAGTCACCTCTTCCACTCCAAAAACAGATTTGCTGATATTGATTCGAAGTCCGTACGAATTCAGTCTTTCAAAAACAACTTTCAGCTGTTCGGTGTAGTCGCTCTATTTTACCATTACTTTGTGGATGATAGGCTACGGTATGGGTGAGTTTAGACCCATAAAGTTTAGTCAGTGATATAAATAATTCTGAACGAAACTGGGTTCCCAGATCGGTGACAATTTGAGGCTATTAATATATAAATATACATCTATATAAACGAAACAGTAGGGTAGTTCAGATAAGACGTTATGAATAAACCTTTGAAAAGTGCTAGGAGCATTTCGTAAGCCAAAAGGCATAACATAGAATTCGTACAGGCCAAATGGAGTTATAATTGCTGTTTTATGTCTATCCTCTTCAGCAAGAGGAATCTGGTAAAAGGCAGCGTGTAAATCTATTTTAGAAAAAATATTTTTATGCTCTAGGATTTCACTAACATCTTAAGCTCTAGGCACTGGATAACGGTCTGGTATTGTGCGAGCATTGAGGGCCCGATAATCGCCACATGCGCGCCATTGTCCGTTTTACTGATTGTAAGTAAAAGAGGACTGGCCCACTGTGATTTAGATGGTCTCAGTATACCGTGATTAATAGGAATTGGAATTCATTTTTAATTTTTGAGAGTCTAGTCGACGTGGTTTACAGTAAACAGGGGGTCCACTAGACGTACAGATATAATGTTTAATATTATGTGTCACTTTGGAAGGCATTAAATTAGCTTTTGTAAGATCTGGATAACTTTGTAATAACTGAGAAAATGAATTGGTTGTTTTTATAGAACAAACTGTGTCTTCAGCAAAATGTATGTCAACTGAAGCAACGACAGTTAATTTCGTATTATTATCTATTAATTTTTTATTTTTTAAATCTATTAATAATCCAAACTTACGGAGAAAATCCGCACCTAATATTGCCTTTGATGTTTTGGCTATAAAGAAAGGCCGTAATAACATTGATTGCGCCGGAATCCTAAATCAATGTTAAGTATTTGGGACCATAAGTCGGTATCTCGGCACCATTAGCGGCATATAATTTGAAGTCAGTTGGCGTCTTCTGCTTAGTAACTGGAATTACTGAGACGTCCGCACCACTGTCCACAAGAAATTGTATGCCTGAGCGGCGATCCTTTACGAATAGTCTATGGTGACGGCCTGATGAGACATTACAGGCAGCGCACTCGGCCGTTACTGTGCCTGCCAATCGGGGTTTCCTTGATAGGTCTGATTCACTAAATTCGAAGACTTACATTCTTTTTTCCACTTACAAGGTGGTGTACATTTTTCCGGCTTACACATTGTCCCATATCGGAAGTGACCATAACAATATTTCCCTTCAGGGTTGTAACGCGAATGCGATCTAGAACGAGATCTTGAATGTTTTTTTAATTCATGTACTTCTGTTTCACAATTGTTTTATATCTCTATCTACATGAGGGACATGAGAGGATACTGCGTTGACTTGGTTATTGTGACAGGTCATTTCCCATATCTTATCGCTGATTTCGGCCATTTTTTCTAATTCTCCATCCGTGATTGAGGTAATTCCTCTTATCTGCGTGGGTAATTTATCTAACCATAAAGTTTGTAACAATTTGTCGGAAATTTCTTTGCCTGCAAGGGCTTTCATTTTTCTTAGGAGCTGGCTAGGTTTCATATCCCCTAGATCAAGCTCGCTAACTGTTTTTTTTCCTCTCTTCACTCTCTTTGAAAATTGTTAACAAGCGGTTTTTAGCTAATGTATATTTGTTTTCGTCAGTTGACGAAACGATGTCCCAAATATTTTCGACCACTTTCAAATCTAATTGGGCTATAAGATAATTAAATTTAGTTAGCTCCTGAGTTACGCCAGATAATTCAAACTGCGTTTCCACCTGGTAGAACCATATTTCTGGTTTATTTGCCCAGAATGGAGGTATTTTGACGCTGACCCTTTCTACGAAATTGGGTTGTGCGGTAGTTTGATCCAGATTATCAATTGCGTTTTCGTTGTTAGCCATTTTGTTTCGTGCTGGTCAAATTGAATGCTGAAGAAAGAAAAGATGGGAAAGAAAAAAAGAAACTCACCAAGATGAAGACAAGAAAACTTAATTGACGATTAATAACTAAAAGTTTATATACACTTTACATGTCCAAATCCGGGGTCACCAATGTAGGTTTTCAATGTTTTTAATAAGTACACACTTCACGTGGTAAACGATTTATTTGTTTATACGTTACAAGTTTTACAACAGCCAAAGCACTTCTAACCGCCACTTATTTTTTTGTCGCCACGTGCTCTTGAGCAGTGTTGCCCCATATCCAGATGGATTTAATTATATGTTGAATCCACAAACTTTTTCATAAATTGCAAGTTTTGAGACCTCTACCATCCACGATGATCTACAGCGGTTTAGGGCCACCAGAAGTCTCGATCGAGTTAGAGGCGCTCTTACCGCACTATGGGACCGTCATCCCCACCAGCTTCCTTGATAGGTAGTCAACTCCAAACGGTACGTAATGTAAGGGGTAGCTCTAAACCGTTCATCAGAAGTCTTCGTGAAAATAGCCTAGTATCGTATCAGTTTCTCTACTACTGGAGAGCAATCGAGTAGAAAGGCGACTATTCGCCAATATCGTCTTGCATGGACACTTGAACGTGGGGCTGTTCTCTTCACAGGTGAGTGCCGGTTTGGTTTTGTGGCATTCTGATGACCGAGACCTTGCACGGAAGACATCGAGAACGCTTTGCTTAATGTGCCATGCGTGAGTTACACCTTATTCAAAGACAATCACTTTTACCCGTTATGGGTATGGGGTGGAATGATTCGGCCCCCATCCAACAACGTCTTGTTAATGATAATCCTCGACCTAATGTAGCTACAGTTGACCCCCATTAATTGGAGTCTGTAGCGACAGAGTCTAGCACGTCCTCCTGATATAAATCCCATGGAACACTTATGGGGCATGATGAAGAGACAGGTTAGCATTCATACAGGAAAATGTTCATAAAACCTTACCAGAATTTTTATTATTGTTTTTATAAGCATCCGGTTAAAACCATAGAACAATACATTTTTAAATATTATCTTTAAACATAGATGACGCTCCAATCTGTTAATCATGTGTTTATATGATAATAATCTATTTTCATTAATAAAATAATGAAATAGTCACAATTTTCGTTTTATTAACAAAAGTAGATGTTGAACATTCAGACAGATTAAACGACAAACATGGAAAAACCAAGTTCTCAAATCATCTGTTGTTTTGATTAGTGTAGATACAGTGAGTGTGCGACTGAAATACGGTGTTGATTTAAGAAAGGACCGAAGACAAGGAATAATGAAGACTTTTACCCATCTCATGAATAAGTTGGTAAACCTCTAAAATTAGTCTTTATCATATCCGGGGCGAGTGGATTTTCGGAAGCTTGAGCATTTCCAACGATCTTTTCAACCTTTCCATTTTCTTCCTAGAACAGAGGCAAAGCCCCCAGATTTTGTTCTTGTACACCCTCCAATACCTCGCGATAAGAACCACGTCCCAGAGCAGAACGAGGCCAAGGACGGTCACCAAATTCTTCTGTATCTCGTTCAGCTCCAACTGACACTTTCCAAAGATGTACCCAGACCAAGCTTTCAGCCACACCTTGTAACTCTCGAGGTACCCCATGTCCCGACCAGAAACCGGGAATTTGTTTTTAAAACCGGTCAGCTGTTGTATTTGAAAGTTTATATTTTGATAATTTGTACCCCACAATGGTGTAATGAAATTGTAATGAACCAGAGAATAAAAGGAGTTTTTAGACCAATAAATGAGGAAAACATTAAAAATCAATCGTCGAATTTTTCACTGTTATATTCAACCCATTATATTTCGTGGTTCGACAGACCAAACTTCTTTCAGTTAATTAATCTTTATGTAAGGTAATGGTTGAAATGAAAAAGTTAGAGTCACGAGCGAGATTCGAGCCCACGAAATAAACCCACGGCTAAATACGCCGTTGCTCTACCACTTCACGATAGCTCAAGTGGTTAGAACAGCGGCGTATTGACCCGAAGATCGTGGGTTCGAATCCGGCTCGTGACACTAACGTTTTCATTCCGACCAAAACCTTACATAAAAAGATTAATTAACTGAAAGAAGTAATTTGGCCAATAGGGCACTAAATATAATGGGGTAATATGTAATATAATTATTATCAAAGTTCTCTAAAACATTACACACATATTCACTTAATCAACCACACACACGTACACACAAATACAAAATAGAAATAATTTAATTTAATACAAATACTGTAACTGAAACGATTAACAATATGTATTTGTATGTATTAAAATAGCAAAGACGCAATCAAACGAATGCCCATTCAAAGGATCGTGCCAGCCAACGTACACAAACTCAAATAAAGAGTATCTGAGTATCTGAGTCGTCTCTCTACAAAGACGAACTGTATACTTAGTAAAATTGTCATCCTTGAACTTATATCGAACCAGTTTATTATTGAACAGAAGTGGGATCGGTACTAAATAAAAGAAAAGGTCGTATACTAAGTCAAATAAAGTAAAAGAAATTCTAAAAATCTCTGTGTTGGAAAATAACATAGGCTTGGTTCCCCATACTAAGAAGATTTAAAGGTCAAACGGTGGGACATCGTAAATCATTGTCATTTAATTTATTTGAAGCATTTCGGCCCGTAGAAATCCCTACTAACGTAAACTTAATGATTTTGTGAAATGGTGAACCTTTTGAATCGCAGTGTTGTCAGAAATGTGAAAAGTGAGCCATTTTAGTTCAGATCACATACGACTAAATTACGGTAACTAAATTCTGTACACCATTCAAATAAGAAAGGTGAATATGATTTAAAGAAAATTTGTGGTCTTAAAATATTTTTTTCACAATAAAAACTAAGGGACAGATTAGGTCGCTTGGATATTCTACTCATGTGGTTCAGTATTATTTATAAGGTGGGACCGATCGCCCACCAGGGGGTTCGTACGAACTCCCTACTGATGCACCCGTTGCCGGAGGGTTCGAGTTCAGTAAGCCAGGAAGGCTCTGCCAAAGCAGGGGGGAGGAGAAGGAAAAGAAAAGGGGTAAGGAAGGATAAGGAAGGTAAGGGGCACATTTTGCCTCTATCATTGGTTACTCTTGGCACCGGAGCTGATGGTAGAGCTTGCCTAGGCCCATGGGGAAGGTATGGGATGCCACTCGAGATTCGCCGAGCCATGAGCCTGGGAACGGTGCAGATCAGAAGTCTGTGAATGTGCTCGTCAAGCCACAGGCCGGCTTAAAGCCTTGATCCGACTTGTAGAAGAAAGGTGATCCTCATCTGTAAGAATGGGCCTTGCGAGGTTGACACACGGACACTTACTTTTGGGCAACGTTCACGCATGTGTCCGTCGTGCAGAGAAAGTTTACTCGATGTGTCGCACCTAATTTAAGGGTGCAACTCCTTGGCTCTATATAGAGAGCGTGTAACACCCGATATGAGAATCGTGCTTGAGCACGACGGCGAGTATCTGAGTCCTCTGTTTCGATTCATGGAGAATGGTTGTTTTATTCCATACAGTAATGATAGTTTTGTGTGTTGAGAATTTATTTATTGGCGTGAAAGTGTAATGTGAGAGGGCTGATGGCAGAATACAGAGTTCACGATCGGACCTTCAATTCGGTTAGTTATATAATAGGTATGAGGGATGATGGAAGAGTATCAAGTACTCCACCATTCTAATTGAATGAATGGCACGTAGGTAAGAGTGTATTTAAGGTTGAGTGAGAGTGTTAATGGATTTAGAAACTGCATGCGTTGTGTGCTAAATTGACCAAGGTGTTGATATCACCCGGTACTTAACCTCTGTTGCGAACCCACAAAAAATAATGTTTCTTTCACTTTATTGTTATCTTGTTTATAGACTGATAAAATTTAAATTTACAGAAAATGGGGTACGGAACAGGTGGAATTGCCTTAGTTGAGAATCACCACCAAACAATTTTGTCAATAAATGTATGTTGCGGGTTAATAAAGGATATGCTCACAGCACTGTACAATTATGATTAAAATGTAAATAGTAAATGGTTGTTTCACCGCGCGTCTTTTAAAAGACATCCACCCTGATTTTTTTAAGAAATCCCATTGCTACGCGTGGTGCCATGTGGATCCAGCTAAAGTAAATTGTTTTATCAAAAACTGCTAACCGTAAATAGATTTTTTTTTTTGTATAAGCTCTACACATTCGAACATTTCAATAATTAAAGTTGTCTTTTTTTCAGTTTCTTGAATGAACTAGATGGGGCGTCGGTGACCGCAACGGTTTAGGCGTATTCGGAACCGACATACTTACACAATGGGCTTAAAAAAATAAATATTCAAAATTAAAAATTAAAAACTAAAATTAAAAAACCGGCACCCTGTGGGTTTATATGACCTTTGTGTTCCGAACCCTCGTAAAAAAGTTAGAAAAATGACCTTTTTTCCAAATGGTAACCAACATTTTTATTCACAGATTCAAGTGGATTCGAGTAAAAACGGCGAAATCCATTTCAAAATCAGTTCAGATATTGCCAGAATAACATGTAAAATCAGATACTGCAAACCAAAAGCACCATTGTTTTAAATTAAAAATGAATTTTTGTTTAGGTTTGGTTATTTGATTTGTATCGCTGAAATATTTTTTGGCAGTTTTTTTAAATAGTAAATAAAAATGTTACTCCCATAACGAAGTTGGAAGAAGCCCTGCATTCGAATCCGACATACTTACAAATGAGTGGTGATTAGTGACCGTTAATCGATATTTATTTAGAAAACGTGAGATGCGGTCTGGTGTGATGTAGGTTTCAGAAAAACATTTTCTTTGTCGTGCCAACTTTTCAATCTTTATTGAGATCATCTTCAGGGCCTGGGATTTACAAACATTATTTACATATTACAATTACATTTTGGATGTGGAAAAGTGAGTTTATACAATGCAAAATATATTTTATATATTCAATCAAAGTATTTCTACTCACTCAAAGTGTTTGTCTTCTGTGCAATTGTGCCATTCTTGCGTGTCGGGTCGAGAGTGCCAGTGAGATTTTGCTATTTTGTGTTTATATACGTTGGATTTTGAAGGGATGGGGAAGGATGTCGGTATAGAAAAGATATTTTTGTATAAGGCGTCGGCTTCTTTGAGGTGAAAAGAGCCGACGAAGGGAAAAAATGTGTTGATAATGGTTCGGCCAGATTATCCTTTCAGGATTATATAGAAAGGGATAAATAGGAAAAGGAAAGCTGAATTGTCGGGAAATTAGACTATGTGAAAAATATATTTGATATGTGGAATGTAATGTGATGATATAGGTTTGTTATCTGTATTGAATGAGATTAATGATATTGGCGTAGCTGCGACTGAGTTTACATGTATCTGTTCTGTAATTGATGTTGTGTTTATCTCGGTTGATATAAACTATTTCTAAGAAATTACGTTTATATTTGTTTTGTTCTGTATGTATATTTGGATTTTTGAAATTGTGTTGGTCTTCAAAATGGTGAGTAGCCAGTGCTGTAGAAGTTTTTTTTGGTTTTTGCAATCATAGATATGTTGCTTTACTCTCTTGTTCAGATATTGGGATGTAAGACCGACGTAAGTTGCCGGACAGTTTAAATAGTTGATCTTGTAGACTTACAAATGAGTTTAAAAAAATATTTAAAAAACCGGCACCCCGAGGGTTGATATAACCTCTGCTGTTGCGAACCTTAGTAAAAAAATCGGGTTACTGCATCATAATTGAAGGCAAAAACTTCCAACAAATACAGATAATTCATTTTTTTGTTTTTTCCCTTATCAGTAATCTAAAGAATTCTTTACTTACCTAAGTTATTTTTAAATTTCAAATAAATGTTGCATTAAACCAGATACTAAAATCTTCAAAAAAGTATTTTGACCTAAAAATAATGACGAAGTTTTTGCCGTATCTGATTTAACCTATTATTTTTGCAGTATCTAACGTTTTCGCCAATATTTATAAAATGGAATGAACTTGATGCATCTCCAAATGAACATGCAGCTTACTATTTGAATCGAAAAGGTTCACTTTTTAAACATTTTTTTAAAGAAATTGATAAAACAAATAATTATTGCGATATTCGGAATCAGAACTAATGAAAACCTGTTTAAATATTTGTTATAAGTTGAGTAATTTTTGAAAAATCAGGGGTACTGTAGGAAGCTGACACCTCGTAATGTATTCGTAAGAGAAAAACAATTTAAATTAAAAATAACAAAATTGCTAAGTCGATCAATTTCCCATACATCTGTTTACTGTTTTCTTCACTAAACGACAATAATAATCGTTTGTAATAATTAAACTACATCCGTGAGGG